CAGATGGCATAATGGCATAGGAGCTAAGTCTCAGGGTTATCACACTGTTGCCTTGAGTGAAGAATAACAGTATTGTCCAATGATAATCATCACTATGAATCTATAAATCAATCAAATGACTATTAATTCATCATTTCTGTTATTACCTGTAGTGGCAAGAATGCTCCCCCACTATCAACACCATACACAGTTGCAAGATGCTTCTTAGTTGCAATATCTTGTGCTTAAAGTTGTTGTTTTTTTTTTCCACCATAATCGAATATAGTGCCACATCTTTCACTGTTGTTTCATTTGCAGTTAAAATCTACCAGGCTCCGGGCCCTCCCTGGTGGCGCAGCAGGTTAAAGCACAGCACTAAGAAGCTAAAGCCATTGCAGCATGAGTTCGATCCCCACCTGCCCCAGAGGTGACCACATGTTGCGGCAGACCTCTCCTGACCCGCCCGCTGCTCCCCTCAAGCAGTGTACTTCAGTCAGCCTGTTCTGCTCCCTGCGCTGTCTCTGGTGACTCCTCTCACCACCCCTGCACCTCTGGCCTGTACCCCAGTTTTGTATGCATAGATAAGTAAATCTTAAAAATTTTTTGGAAAAAAAAAAATTTCCAAATCAGGAAAAGAACACAATGTGAGCTAGTGGTTTTTGAGAGGAAACACAACAAAGATGAAAAGATGTCCAATCTGTGTTGTTGGGTTTTTTTATTTTAAAATCTTTCAGCTCCATTCTTTCTCTCTTTTTTCTTAACTTATGCATACAAGAACTGGAGCACAAGCCAGAGGTGCCAGTGGTGAGAGGATTCACCAGAGACAAAATGGGGAGCAGAACAGGCTGATCTAGTGAAACATACTGCTGAGCAGAGCAGTGGGCAGACAGGAGAGGTCTGCCGCGCTATGTGGGTCACCTCCCTGGCCGGGGATTGAACTCGTGCTGCTGATAGCTTCACAGTGCTGCGCTTCAGCCTGTTGCGCCACCAGGGAGGGCCCAAATGTCCACTCTTACGATTATTAGGAAATAATGAAAGATCACACAGTTGCTGTCATGCTCATCAGATTGAGAGGGGAAAAATGTCAGACAGAACCAGGTGTTCATGGATGAATGGAGCTGCAGAGCATGTTGACACGACTAGAAGTCGTGTAAATGCAGGTAATCACTATTCTAACTGGCAGACCCCGCAAAGTTAATGTATTTCCTGCAGAGCGGCAGTGCTGCTTCTTGGTGGAAGCTTAGCCCTCCTTGGTGGGCGTCCACAGCACATGTAGGTCCCAGGCCCCAATGTCTGGCAGCAGCTGTTAATTTACTAGGAATTAACTTCTCTCCAGTATGCTCAGAGTGAACTACCTGTGTAGGCCTGTGTGTTCAGTGCTGGTCTCAAACTACTGATAATCAATGTTGTGTCTGGACCAATCCTTGTGGTTCTTGTGATTGCGAGATGCCTTTCCATGATAGCCATGAGGACACTTTGGAGGAAATAGATTTACTGCTTATATGGCCACTTGGGCCTCAGCGAGGTCACTGCTAGAAAGCAAGCACACAGTTCTGAGTTCCCGCTTTCACTTGGGGCTGATGGCAGGGGCTGTCTAGCATTTCAATGCTTATTTTTGTAAGTTTGAAACATGAGTGTGGTTATTGAGAAAGAGCCATAGTGACCCCATCTAGTCAGTCATCTAACTCAACCGGTGTCTGTAAAACAGAGTGGCCTCATGCATGAGGCAGCCTGGCATAGTGGCTGGTCACATGGCTGGCGATGTGTTTGAGCGAGCCCCCGCTAGGGTAGGCACCACAGCATCAAAGCTTAAGTCATTGCAAAAAGAAAAGTCAACTGTCAGGGTTACCCTACACTGTAGAAAACTTGAAAAAATAAACCCTGAAATAATTTTCTGTATGGTAGACTTTTCTCATAGAATTCTAGTTGAAACACACATACAAAGAAAGATTGTGTCTGCAATTAAACTGACACAGTAAAGTTCATGACCACAAAAAAAGTACCCAAACATCCCTCAATAGAACAAATAAAGGGGTTCTTTTCATACAATAGAACATAGCAGTGAAAATTAGTTGAAGTTGAGCAGTCCTGATTCATGATGAATCTTACACAGCATTGAGTTATAAAACAAACTTATGGAAGTCATTGTATACAATACAATGACTAAAGTGTTGATAATATTAATATTAAAAGTATGGAAATACTAGGAAGCCAGATATGTTTAGCAAGTCTAGGGCAGTACTTAAGAATCACAAAGATCAAAGTCTGGTTATCAGAAGCCTCTGCCATATTACGGATTTTCTCAGCGTGGCAATGCTTTTTTTCTTTTTTTTTTAATTTTTGCTTGTTGCTAACAAATACTACTTTAGTTTTTAAAGACAGGATTTGGGGGGTGATGCAAGAATTTCTAGAAATGAGAAATAATAGAATTATTTGGTTGGAGAGTATTAAAATACATAAGATACAACTGAAAATATAGTGAAGTAGAAGAAAGTTACTGAAGGCAATTACCCAGGCACATAGATTTGGAAAAACTAATATTTCCTATTTTCCTACATACTGTATATGTGTCTGTGTGTGTTTGTATGAGGTGTGAAGAAGCAAGAGAGTAAGAAGACCTAATACCCACAAGTATCTAAAACAAATAGTGGGAATTATGGAATCTCAATATATAAAGATATGGCCAGAAATCTTCAAAATTAAAATAATTAATGAATGAAAACCTTGCAATTCTCAGATTCAGAAACCAATGAGCTCAAGCGAGGATGAACAAACCTAAATCTATAACCAAAAACATAAAGGCAAAACACATACCATCAAAGTCATTGGTGACCACAAGGACAACAAAAAGAGGATTAAAGCACAAGAAAAATGAAAGCAACCCAGTTCAAATTGATTTCACAGAGGGCAACACAAATTTGAAAGATGAGGAACAGTCTCAAATTACAGAAAGATATCAACCTAGAATTCTGTACCCAGCTAACCTAGTGGGCTGTTGGAAAAGTCATAATGCTTTTTTGCTTGAAAAAACAGAAAAAAAAAAAAAACATCATGACTTTTCCAACAACCCAATATAAAAGAGCAAAGTTTTAAAAAAATTAGCAATGGCAGACCCTCATGCAGTAGCATCAGGAGGGAGATTCAAAGCAGAAGGAAGAAAGGAGATGGCAAGGAATCCTGGCAAATACAGAAACCACAAACTGTCCACACTGTCGTGGACTGTGCCATGGGCTGCATGAAACAGTGGCAATGATGAGCAACATCTGACTGGCAGCATCAGTTGCCACCAAAAGTCTGAGCAGCAGCATCCAGCAACACAGGATATTGGTGGCTGGCACTGATGAATGCCAAAGTCTTTGTACTATTTAGGAAGAAGAAAGTTTCAAAAGCTATGTATTAATGGGTAATTTTCAAACCAGTGGTCGGGAAAGGGTTTAAAGAAAACTTGAACACACCAACAGAAAGAAAAGGAAAGAGAAGCAGAGTAAGATCAGGATAAAAACAGTATCCTAAAAAATCATCTTTATGGCCCTCCCTGGTGGCGCAGCGGGTTAAAGCACAGCACCAAGAAGCTAAAGCCGCTTCCGCATAAGTTCGATTCCCGCCTGCCCCAGAGGTGACCACATGGCGTGGCAGACCTCTCCTGACCCTCCTGCTGCTCCC